TGTATGATTCTTAGGTTCTAAGAGTATTTTTATCATATCAAGTAGGTATTGTGGCTTTTTGAAAAGAAAAAAATATTTCGTGGTATTTTCCATAAGTTTTGAAAATATTATGGTATTTTAGTAATTTTTCCTAAAAAATTTACTAGAGAAAAAAAAAATCATATCCATGTGAACATATTTAGAGTTTGACAGATACTAGAGTGATGACAGATACGAAGAGCTGTACGCAAATTCCATAATCAAGTAGGTATAGCCATGTGAACATTTGAAACGGTATCTAACGTGGAAAACGTGAGGTTAAAGACGTATTTGTCAAATGAGTTTGGAAGCTTAAAAATTAAAATAAAGCAATTATCATAAGACACTTGGCCGGACAAAATCCCGACAAAGTGGGTAGTAACTTTCTTTATCAGATCAATAACTCGGTAATAACTAGGAGTCTTGGATAATAATGACTTCGAAAAAAAAGAAGATAATAATGATTTTGCACATGAATTTCTGACCGACACTAAACAACGTGAAATAACATTAGGACACCAACAATGGTGAGAAGTGAGAATTCCAAATGGGTTTTTTAGAAATAAAAGATTATTGTTTTAAGTGAAATAGCACGATATTGCATGTCAATAAAAGATATTTAGTGATGTAGATTATTTTTGAATTTATTAACGAAATTGGCTGACAAATAACCTTACTATCCGTCTGATCTAATGTGGTGACACATGAATGATGTCAGACTCTGTCAGCCTGTGTTAGAGTAAACAATAACGTACCATGTAAAACTGATATTTTTTTTAATAATTTTTCTTTCATCACTTTGTTCTTCCATCTGATTTTTGTTTGATATAATTTTTTGTTTAAAAATTAAATTATTGTATCACCTATATATATAAAAACAAGATTTTTTTTTACATATGTTACAATTTAAAATTGGGATAATTGCAGAAATGTCAATTAGGAGGCATTGCAAAAATACCACTAATTATGGATTTTTAAAGCCTAAATATTAAAATTATAAACCATAAAAAATGTTTTGACCCTAAAATTCCAAATCTTCAAAACTAAACTCTAATAAAATATAGTTAACACAAACATAAATGATATAATGAAAAAATAATTTTGAAAAAGTGATATTTTTACAAAAATTTTGAAAATGTAGCATTTTTGAAAAGTGACATTTCTTAAAATTTCTGTTAGATTTATAATATATATTTTTTAATGTTTTTAATTTTAAGCCCAGTAAAAAGAGAAATCTAGTATTCAGTCCACTTGAATCGACCAAAGAGAAGGAAGTATGAAAATCCAATTTTAAGACGAAAACACTGCAACTTATACATCATAAAATTTATCAGTCAATTGCATAGATAAAAATATTAATTCAAATTTATATAGCAAACTCACTACATTAATCTGCAGTTTCTACCACATATTTTTACAGCAAGTTACATCAAAATTATAACACTTACTACAACTCAACTTTCATACCGTATGATACCCGTGGGAGCTAATAATTAATTTAAATAGCTATGTGTGCTTTTCCCATATATGAGACCAAAGTAATCAGCGACTATACTATGTGTTTTTCTATTAATTTAAATAGCCATCCATGAGTCAATGAATGGTGTGGTTTTCCCGTATGAGACCAAAGGAATCAGCGACTATGCTATAAATATGTAAGTCTTTTGGTAAGTGACGACAAAGTAATCATTTAACAATGGTTTTAATTCTATCTCGAATCTCAGTCACTCCTTACAGTTTCTCTTAAATCATTTTTTTGTGTCACTATTCAGAGATTAAACATTTGAAGAAGCTCACAGTTTCAACATTGACAATCGGCGATACATCTCTTTTGTCTCCCAAGAAAGTATTTCTTCTTCTTCCTTCTCCTTCCCTTGTACTCCCATGGAATCATCAACACTTGCAATCCCGAGACAGGCTTCAGATTCTAAGGACATGACTGAATTCTCGGTTCCAGATCAAATGGTAGATCTTGAACCGGGCACGGTCCATGAGTTGTACAAACCAGTTCCTGGGATGTGGCAGTTTCCTACAAACCCCGATCTTTGTTGTATCTACAGAGTCCCAAACTGTATGCGTAGCGTAAACCCAGAAGCGTACACTCCTCAGTTAGTTCTCATTGGACCTCTTCACCATTCTTTGAAATTACAAGCTCTCAAGTCTCGTGGAGATACCAGAGATGCAAAGTTAATGGGATACTTAAACATGGAGGAACACAAGAAGATTTACCTAAAAGAATTCGCAAAAAGGGTTGCTGGGGAAAAAACCATTGATGGGTTCAGGAGAGTAATCGAAGAAAAAGAAGCGATAATTAGAGCAAGCTACTCAGAATCAACGGCTTGGATTGAACCTCCAGCGTTCGTGGAGATGGTCCTACACGATTCTGTTTTCATATTAGAGCTCATGTTGAGGCTTTATGCGGCAGGAACAGAAAAAACAGGGGATCCTCTCATAGACGAGCCTTGTCTTGAACTCACAATCAAGAGAGATCTCATCTTGCTCGAGAACCAGCTTCCTTACTTCATCCTCGAGAAACTCTTTGATCCAGTGCTTTCAATATTCCACGAACAGACATTCCGCGAACTAACCATTATCTATTTTGAATTCCTAGGCAAGAAGGGAAGCGACTCAAAGTTTAGACATTTCACTGATTTGTTCAGGTGTGTCCGCGTGGAGACGGTTCCAGATCATGCCTTTGGGAGATTCAATCCCATGTACCAAATGTATAATGCGGATAAGCTAGACAATGGGGGAGTGAAATTCAATGTCGTGGAAGACGAGTTGTCGGTCTTGGTGACATTCGATAAAGGTGTTCTAAAGATACCACGTTTCTTGGCTGATGACGATGCGGAGATAACAATCAGAAACATAATGGCCCTTGAGCAATGCCATTACCCATTCAACGCCCACGTCTGTAACTACATTATTTTCTTGGATTTCCTCATCGACACGGAGAAAGACGTGGCCTTGCTTGTCGAGAAAAGTAACCCTTTTTATCGTTTTAGGCTACTAGCTAGTCCAGTCGATATATGTATGTGTGTGAGTAATATTGATTCGTAATTTGTTTTCTGTTAGAGATCGTAACGAATTGGCTTGGGCACCATGGTTCGGTGGCTAAGATGGTGAACAATCTTTGTTTGGGAGTCAGGGACGATGGCTCTTACTATTCTGATATCGCAGAAAAAGTCATCGATCACTACAATGAGAAATGCAAATTATACAATAGGTCATTCTCCATCCTCAGGCGTGTGTATTTCAGTAACCTCTGGAGAGGGACAGCAACCGTAGCCGCTATATTGCTATTGCTGCTGACACTTATCCAGACCATGGCTTCAATCATTCAGGTTTTCCCAAGTTCACTATTTTCTCCCTAAAAAGAAACACTTTTGAGAGTTCGTGTCCGATTTTAAGTTCAAATGATTGAGCTAGTAGTAACCAGCAACATCTGTTTTCTCTTCTCAAAAATAAACTCTTCCGCGTACCTATCTTTTATGATATCTAAACATGTTCTAGTGTTGTAGATTTTTTTTCATTTCGTGAGTTAATTGTACTATTTATGAAGCTCTTTTAGCACAAACTAAGAGCATGATTAGTGGTGATACAATGTGGGTATCATTAAATATAAAATTATTAAAATTTGAGTAAAAAAAAGAAAGATAGTGTTTTTGGTTGAAATAATGGGGTGTATTGAAATATCCCTTATACATTAATTTGAGAGTGACTTTTTGACAAAAGCCTAGGTGTCTTCACCAAAATCACTCTCACAATTTAATTGTGACATGACATCCTTAAAAATGTGACATGACATTATCCATCAATTTATCTCATTAGTTTTTAATTTAAATTAGCCCAAAACAATCCCAAAATCACCAATCAATTATTTGCTAGCCAATCAATTATTAACCCATCACGTAATCATCCCTAACCTAATCTTCCCTGTATAAGGATCACGACCAAAATTTTCATATCAATCCCATCCGCTAAACTGATTTTCCCATTTTCTTAATTTTTTAATTTTCTTCAAAATGGAATTTTAATTTTTTCCGTCAAATCAAATGTCTTTTTGATAATTTTTTTTTTTGTTTCAGGGACATCCATCCCAAACAATTTCTAAGAAGATAATGTTCAAATCTGATG